CGACTCAGCTAGGTGGTAAACAATGATGTTTGACAATTTGATAGATGGTTTTGGGATATAAGGGGGACATTTTTTTTTTTTTTTTCAAGTAATAACATCCGACTATGCGAAAATATTTGTGACTGATTACATTGCAACAACACGTGGTGGGAAGCTCATTTCCTATAATGTAGCAAGCTATTTAATATCAATCACATTCTCCATAAATTAATAAACTCACCGGGCGTGCTCTGAAATATAAGATATACCACCGTTTACGACCTGCCTGGTTTTAATAAAAGTTAGCGTGTGCGTTTGGCGCCCTCCTGCATAAGGGAAATTTTGTAATCTACCGAGTTAGGAATACGTGAAATTTGGTGGCGTTCGACTGTGCGAGAACTAGAGGAATTAGCCTCTCCAAACCAATTTTCAGTGGAGCTGCGACAATATCGATGACATAATTTCGGATGGGTACCCATTTACGTTTAGTTGCTTATTTGATTCCACTACCTGTGAGAAATTTCTGAATTTACTGTTTGCGAACTACTTTAACCCCAAGCTGTAGCATGACATATGCATTATTATCTTAGGTACTATACTAGGTAATTTGTAAAATAGTATTTTTCCATAATTATGTGTTATTGAAAATTATTCAAAACAATCGTCAATTGCAATATGAGTAATTATGAATTTAAAAATTACAAAACACGGTTAATTATTAATAGAAGAGGTGTGTGTAGGGACGTTTTATTTCTGAAAAAATCTTTTTCGTTGACAAAAATTGATATTCAAAAGTGCTATACGTATATATTCCCCAGATCCAACATCATCAGGAAGCACACCGAGAATCAAACACAGTTTTTCCCTGACGCTATCAGAATATACTTTCTTTCCAGTTTTCGCTACCTTCACAGTCACGTAAATGTAAGGCGGCACGCATCGAGAGTCACAAGTATAACTGGGAGTAACGTACGATAAATCTGGATTCTATTAGCAAACATTTTGCATATTTCTTGGATAGAATTTAATATGAATATAAAACCAACGAACGGCTTGTAAATGTGTACCTACCTATGTGCACCCACTAAACACGAAACGTAAATGAAACGTTGCAAATGAGACGTTTTACTGAACATTTGAAACATTAACTAGAAACGTTTCTGTTTCATTACAGAAATGTAGCACTTGAAAACTTATTTAGTGAAACAGCCGAAACGTTACAATTCAAGAGAGTTTGAAACAGTACTCGAAACATTCCCTTTCGATCTCGGAAACATAACAGACGAACAACCCTTTGCTATTTTTGTTTATCTTATGAAACATTCGACATTAGTTAAATTTTGCTCTCAATCCCCAATCCTTCTCAAGCGTTAGTTCATTTGCCTTTGTTATATAAAGACATAATTAGAAAAAAAAAAAAATGTGGTAGCATATTTATAACACAAGTCTAGAAAAAACGTATGTTCGTGACTTGCGTAGACTGCGCGTAACAGCCCGAGTTTATTTGTTTCCCGTGTGTCGTTTCAATTCGTATTATGTTAGGTTAGGTTTGCGGTTTGTCAGTTTGCTTGGTTTCGTTGTTATTCATCTTTACTTTGACGCTATTTTATGTGATAATTTGTAGTGCGTGCAGTTGTGGTTATTGTAAGGTGCATATAAAATAATGAATATTGATGCAAAATGTTTAAAACGATATGTGTAGAGTTTTCCAATTTTCCATGCGTTACATCTACCTAAATATAGTTATACCCACTACTATTACAGACAAGAGGACAAGGGACAAGAACTAAGAAAATGGAACAACAACATACGTTTCGATATAATTTGAAGAGCAACTACTTAGTCAGTGAGAACTATTTGAAATATGGATGAATCAAGTGAAATAGACGTCATTTATTTTATATTTTGTACAAATGTTTATATTTGTTTTTGTGTATAGGCATGCTTAAATAAAAGAGTTTAGGTATACCTACAGATATTTACTTTGTCAAGATATCATTTTGTATCCTTATTTCTGCTGTATAATTTATTATTATTAAAAGGATATATGTAATATTGACCATGCGTAGAAGAAATTATAACTTTATATTATTTTTCAGTAATGTTATTTGTTTTTCATGTACCTACCATTTTAAGATTCATAATCATAACTAACTTTTTCTAATTATCAGTTCGTCATTGTTAAGGTCTCAACATTAGAAAATTTACATTTCAGAAGCGTATTTGAACTATATAAAATGTGTAGCTTTTTTTTAATGCTTCTGATATTGTTTTGTGATATTTTTATTTGTACGATGAATGGCAAAATTCATAATCCATATTAGAAACTTTTTTCAGTGGCTTCTCAAAAAGAAAGAAATTCATAGTAAAAGTTGCCTCATCCCCAAACTAGAAGAGCATATTTATTTTTTTTAATATACAATGTAACTTTTTTTAGTTCGAATTAAGTCATTCACAATACAAATAAAAATATCACAAAGGAGTATTAGAGATATTTAAAAAAATACTCACGCTATTTATACTATTTCAAAAACGCTTTTGTAGTGAAAATGATCTAAAGTTGAGAGCATTATGAGAACAATATGGTAATAAAATTATTATGTTACTCAAACATTTCTGAAAATATACTGAAACGTAAAACAAAAATATCGAGGGCATAAATGGAACATAAAAAGAATGTTATTGAAACCAATTTTTTGAAACGTTTCATTGGAAACGTATTTTGGGGAGGACATCTTGGGCTTCTAGAACGTTACCAGAACGTTGCATGGATTTTTTATGAAACGTTTCAAATGGAAACGTTTCTGAAACATGTCAGAAACTGAAAAATGTTTAGTGGGCAGATTATTCAAACCAAAATCATGGTGGTCCTATCTACATGCACGATTGCAAAATTCAGTGAAAAATAATTAAACAGATTTACAAACAATCTCCTTGATTTTAAAAAGGTTGCAGGCGAAAATTACCAGACCGAATCGTTCTTCGTGTATTTATCAAAAGGCTGAGACAGTTTTAATTAATGCCTGTTTGACAAAGAGATATCGCATTACATTTAAATGAACCAGTGCGTAGAAGGCTTGCTGCTGTTAAAACAGAATATACTCACCATTAACGCCTTAGGAGGAACAAGTAATGCTTTTAAAGGCGTTAAATTTCAAAACAAATAATGCTGGATAAGCTAAAATGAAATACTGCTGGGGTTATATTTTGCATGTTAATAAAATTTAGTTCCTGGATAACGCTAACAAACGAGTAAGGCAATGAAAAATTTTATGAATATAGATAGGTAGGTACGTAATACGTATATAGTTAGTTATTCATCTTCTATATCTTCTGTAGAATGAATTTTACGTGGATAAGGATTTTGAAATAAATTGCTAAATAAACAAACCTTCTGTAAAGGATAAATGGAATAACAGCCACATAATTTCCTGAGACAAAATGAGACAAAAACAAATTTAATAACATGTAAGCAGTCCCCTCTGCTTAAAAGACGTGTCTGAATAAAAACAGGCAATTATAAATTAGTATTTAGCCTACATTATTGGTTATTACTGGTATTTCCTGAACTATTTTAGTTTATTAATTTTTCCTTGTATAGTACATAAAAAATACGTTTTGAACGATAAAATCAAATTTTAAAAATATACCTACTAAGTATGTATATATTTTTTTTATATAAAAAATTTCAGAAATATCTTTTTCATTTCGACCGTACCTAGATAGCTGCTTTACCTAAGAGCTGATTATTTCCAATTTTTCCGAGATCGAAAATTTGTCTAAAAAAATTATTAAATAATATTTTTGATTGAAAAAAGAGTTCTCCCTATATTACAGGCCAATTTTTGCATCTGAAGTTAGCAGAAGCTGCGATCTGTTCAATAATTTACAGTACAACATGTTTAATATAGTTGCTGTTAGCAGATGGCGCGGTATAAAAAATTGAAACCAAATCACAGCGCCACACCAACGTCAGTGTTCATCATGAAAATAAACATCAAATCACTGCTCAATTTAACAGAACACTGCAATAATTAGAATGAATTGTGAAAAAAAAAGTTAGGATATAATTATGTAGATTTATTCTTCCTAAAAGTAAAAAACTCACCAAGTTATTTTTGTGTTTAGAAGAATTTTCATGTTTCTTAATTTTATCCGGTAAACGTTTCATGTCAGAAACTCCAGTTTTCTTCGCCTCAAACAAAGAAATCTATTTGTTTCGTCACAACTACACAACCACAGGGTCTTATCATAAATGTTTTTATCAAATTTGCGAATAAAAGCCGGCCTATTTTTGCACTCTTTCTGCACCTGAACTAAATTCAACACTGGCGTTGGACGTCCGTTATTTTTCAATTCGACTTTTTCCTCTAAACTTAAATTACTAATAACAAGTTTTTTTATTTCACAAACCCTCATTTTAAACTTAAACTTATAAAATATAATGTCTTAAAAAGCGCCAAAGCAAAAACAAAACACGTATAANAAAGATAATTTATCAATTTATTACGTATACGTATGTTTATACGGTACACGTACAATAGTTATTCGTTTATGTGAAAACCTAATTGTTCGTAATGTTAACGCTAGTCTCATCTCTCTACTAACATTAACCAGTGACCACGACTATCAACCAGTGACTATTACTTCAGGGGCACGTAGCATGGAGCCGATAGTTTGCTAACCATTACTATTTTCATTGAAATACTTTTGGACCAGAAATAATTCGTAAATAATAGTTGGATACTATTGAATATTTTGATAGTTTATTGTGACTAATATTCACTATTTGTTTCCCTAGAAAAAGTATTTCATTCTACATATAAAATAGAGTATAAAATTTGAAAGTTAATAATTTGGAAAAAACAGAAATCTTTAAACAATAACAATAAAAATTTTATTTATTAGAAGCTAAAAACAAACTCTCCGAAACGAGAATTTTTGAGGACCCTGTATTTGTGAAGGAAAAAAATGGAAAATGAGTTTATATTCTTAATACTTAAAAAAATTATTGTAGTGACTTACAGGAACAGGTTGTCCATCACATAATCATAATCCACTCTCGACCTATCAGGTAAGAAGCAAGCGGAAAACAGCACAATAGCAGTGTGGCCTCCTGCTCTGAGGTATCCACCATGAGAGAGCACTCTTTTGTAAGGTTCGATAACACGCATATCAATAGTGCGTTGTTCTCCACCAGGCAACACCATCCGCTGCCAGTACCTGGCGTGTCGACGCTCATCTGCCGCACTTAGAGGCTCGATTGGCTCAGGAGAGATGTTATCTAAAAAAAAAGGAAACAGTATTGCAAATTTAAAAAATAAAACATGTACACACCATCGTTTTCCAGATTATCTTTACCATTTTCAGTTTCTCCGTTAAAAACGTCTTCAGACTTCAAGCTATCAGGATTGCTGTCTAAAGAAGAAACATCGCTTTCTTGATCAGATTCAATTGGCAAGACTTTTATTATTCTTAGTTTATTGCTTCTTTTATTGTGTGCCAGAAAATTTAAATTTCCTGTAAAACATATAGCAGATTTAAGGCAAAAAGTTTTAGATAAAAACTGGGAAAAATTCATTGAATTGGCTTATTAATACGTCAACTATAAGCAACAAAATTTCCAAACCATGAAGCTTAACAATTACTATTCGGGAAATTCAATAATTACATTTAATTCCTAGTGGCGTTACTAAAAAAAAATGATTTCTTCCATTTTGTTAAGGAGGTTTATCTGATTTGGAATTGACGAACAAATATTCATAAAAAAATTAATATAAGCTTATTAATATGAAGAAAACCGTCAAAAAAAATTATGACTAGTTTGGATACCTGAGACGAGATATTAATAAAATAATTTTTCACGATTTAGTACAGAGTCTTATGAGAATGCAGATTTTTTTGGTCTTTCCACTTAGAATGCGCAACAATCGACGAACAGTTTCCACAGCAACTTGTATAAATAGGAAACCGATATCTAAGGAACCGTATGATATATATTTCAAGCTTAGGCATCCAAACAAAGCCAGCCAAGTGCAACGTTGCCAAATCTAAAGGCTTACTACTTTAGTCACTAGCGAATGTACAGAAACTCTCGTTAGACTTTTAGACGTACCTCCGTACCCGATAAACCTCCTTAATAGTTATTAAAGTGCCGAATGATGTTTGGGTACCTTGAAATTTGAAAAAATTCTGAAAAAAGTTTATCCTTTTAATGTTTTCGAAGAGAAATGATGCTGGTCGCCTGATTTATTTCATGATTTTGTGTTTTCCCAGGGCCTGTCGAGGGTCTGCGTGTCGTACATGTGCAAGCACATCCCGCACGCCGCGTCTCACAACCAGCTCTTCTCGTGGCTGCAATACAGCACCGCCTGCTGCCACACCAAAGTGTACGACACCTGCCAAAACTACATCAAGTGGAACTTTGAGTCGGTGGCCAATACCCCCGACTACAGCAATTTCGATGTCGACCTGTTCATCAACATTCTGCAACAGAACGACATCGTCGTCCACAATGAGATGGTACTCTATAACTGCGTGGTGCGCTGGCTAGAACTGCAGAAGATAAAAATCCTACAGACGTGTCCCTCGAGTTCTGCAGTCGAGGAGGAATACCGACTTCTAGTGGAGAAGATAATGCGTTATATCCGGTTCCCGATGATGACGCCCAGGGAACTGGCAGATCTTCTGCTCTCGCCCGTAATAAGGCAGCACAAGGAGTTCTTCGTGGACCGCATGGCGATCGGCATGAAGTACCACTCCGGCTACACGGACCAAATCCAGGTCCACGGCGGCTGCGAGGAGGGACGGTTGCTGTTCACTCCCCGTTTGTACACGTCGGACAGCTGCAGCGCCATCCTAACCATTGAGAACTTCTGGAGCATCCCCAACTACCACACGAGCACGTTCGTGTTCTCCTCGCACTTGTCGGCAGCCGAACACGAGTCTCACAAGGTGAACGAGTGGCTGGTGGACCTTTACCCGAAGGGGGTGTGGTTCAAGAAGTGTTTTCTGATCGTGTGGCAGGGTACCTTAGAGGTGCCACAGGAGATACTGTCGACGGTACGGCTCTCCTTGACGTGCAGGGAGCTGTCGGAGAGGGAGATGCGTGTGAAGGTGTCGGTGTTGATTTACGGGCTGCAGGGCGGAGTGGAGCACGTGATGGAGGTGAGGGAGAAGGTCCACCACTTCACGGCACAGGACAAGGTTGGTTTTGTCTATTAGTATCGTATTTTTTCACTTTTTTTCGATATTTTAAAGCTAATTTTTTTGTCAAAATCAGAATGTTCTTTGATACCAAAAATTTAGGTATGCTAAAGTTAATTGAGCTCATGAACAATATCTACATAGTAAACAGGTAGGAAATAATATTTATCCAAAGTAAAATCTAAAAGTTACGTGTCTATACAGGTTGTAACAAAAGTAACGTTACAAAAAGGTAGAACACTTAAAATTAGTAGGAGTACTTCATATAAAATTTTTGCCTAAAATGCTTCCTCGGTGAGGTTGATGTTGAAAAAATAAATAACATTCTGTTTAATATCTTTCGACTATTACTTCGAGCTAATTTCGTGAAATTTCATATCCGGGGTTTTTTGGGATGAAAAATTTGAATTTATAGACGATTTTGTTCTATCTTCTAGAGGGCGCCACAAGCAACCATTAGGACGCATTTAAACTGCCAAAAAGGTTTTGTGCCACCGTATATTTAACTTTGGGCTGGAAAATATTTTCCCCCCACTTTTCTGCTTAAAAAAGATATACCTCGCTAATATCTCTTAACTCTAAAGCCAACTGTTTTCAACAAAAATGCATTTAAACTTGTAAAAAGAAGATATTTAGACAACATTTATGCTAGGAACCATATTCAAAAGGCTCTAAATATTTTAGGAAGCATTTTTGTAATAGGTGCTTTTGCTCAAATCGGCACAAAAGCAATCGTTTGTTGGTAGAGTTTCTTGATACTATACTCGGCGGCCAAAATTATAAAGAGTGACTAATACATAATATAAAACACTATTACCATAATGCGTATAAAATATAAAATAAGTTCTATACGGTTCAATATTATTTATCTTTGTGCCGCTCGCCATGCACATCGGTAGAATCTATAATCGTGGATAGACTGAGTTACACTGAACGTCGATCTATATTTTATCTCTGTCTTTTGCACTTGGTAGGGAATAGGGAAATGCTTTTTTAGTGGGTGTAAACGGACTTGATTTGCCCGGCCTGAGAAACGTCATAGCATAAGCGTAAACGAGGGGTCTAATTCCATGGCTATAATAAATTTATAAATTAAAAAAACACAACTGGGACGTTTTAAAATGCTGTAATAATTAAAATTGATCAAAGTGCCGGTTATA